GGATTGAAAATTATTTAATTACACTTAATTTAATAACACATTTACCGTATTATCTTGTCGTATTGTTGTCGAATCTTCATCTCATCCGAATCTAATGGTTTGAACGGCTCTTCGGTAAGGCAGTCAATTAATGCTACCATATTTCCATAATTTAAACATATAATAATCATTTTATAGCATGAAGCGGATGTGGTCAACATTAGATTCAAAGTGCTTGTGAAAGCATCAGTGTCTTCGGCGTTCAGGATAATATCCATAAGTTGCAACAGTGAAAATATGTATAAAATGACAATCACTTGTATACTATAGATATTATAAAGGATTCGTTTAAATAAAGACGTCCATAATCGCGGTCGGAAACACCCAGCGATCGTAACGATTGTACAATTCAATTTAAGAGCATGCATTATATTGCATTTTATTGTATAACGAAATTCAATTATAAAACATGTATTATTGGCTTTGTTGGTTTTATGGGAATCTTTGGTCAGTATTCATCTCTCAAGATAACTGATAGAATTTCTGTTGTACGAGAGGTAAGGTAAAAAAACGTAATTCTTCAGTAGGGCGCACTGTAAAATGTCTATAAACTTGTGACGTTATTTTCCGGTGGTAACGATATTTTTCACCGTTGATAGTTTCTACTTACTTCTGCATATTTAATATCTTCATAATGTAAAATTGGCAATAATTGTGCCAATACAATATAATTGTGCCGCAAGATAATTGGATAAAATATTTCTACATATAATTATATATAGAAGATGCTTTTCATTGCCCCATCGAGATAGAGAATAAAACCATAATATAGTAGAAAGAGGAGAAAAGCTCTTCAGAGATTCAGCAATAAAATATGAGATGCCAACCTCGACAATATTTCTTGACATATTTCATAATATGTCTCTCATCAACATACGACATATTTCATTATATTATTGTCTATCCTTCGAACAGAAGAATCGCGACATTGTAATATTGATTCCTACACGCAACATATCAGATAGATGCTAGAGATATACGCATTTATAAGATTCGACTATATATAGTCGAACAGACAAAAAGAGTTTAGTAATGTCTAAATTTCTCTCTGACCTCTCAAAAGGCAATGGCAAATATCTTCTAAATAGACCGTTCAAAACCGACATTAAAAACTGTAGATCCCCTTTATCTGCGGATATATGCAGAAGAGATCAGCACGTTTCTGACAAAAGACTAACAAGTAAGAAATTTCTTTGATGCTATATTTTTATATGCGGTAATGCAATCGTGTATTACGTACCTTTTGCCTTTTTTTATCTCTTTAATGGTACTATGTATTCCTTTCACGATTTTTTTAATTACTCCGTGTAAAATAAAATTATTGAAATACTTTATTTAAAATAATATATTTAGATTGTAATAAAATATAAAAATAAAATTTGTATACATTACATGTATTTTATAATATTAAAGTATAAAACGTTTAAAGATTGAATGCTAATATTAAAACTCTAATTTCTTTTTCTTATTTCTTCCAACATATAAAAGCACTTTCAAATATAAAAAGTAGTATATGTATACATATTATATATAGACATATTCTTAACAATTATTGTAAATGAATAAATATTAAATGTTAGAATTATTAACAACAATTATCTTATTACCGTTCATTAATTATACGAAATAAATAGAGAAAAACGATTTGTTTTACTTTTATTTTTCAATTTTTATTATTCTTGCACTCGCACCAATAAATTATAAACAGAGTATGATGTTTTAAGCAACTGAAATGTTAAAAAGTAATTAAAAATATAATAAACATTTTAATATTTATAAATGATGAATAATAATTTATATAAGCGAATTCATAAATTACTTACAAACATATGATTTATAATACATTTTTAATTTATTTAATAGTTTTATTATTAAAATAGAATTAGAATTAAAAACACAGGAAGTTTATTAAATGATTATCCAAGTTGATTTAAATTAAAATAAATTTGTTTATACTAACCGCGACAAAAGAATCCAAATTTATAGTTAGAATATATACAGTAGAAATTTCAATGGGTATCATTGCACGCTTCATAATTATCAAGAGACTCTTTTTAGTGCTATTGTCTAAAATTGGCCACTCCATTTGAAAAATACTGTTTGTTAGTTGAAGACTCTGTAAAATAATATGTAAAATGTTTTATACGTTTTATTCATGTCTCTAACTCTATTTTTACTAAATATACCTTAGATTTGACTTTATTTCCAAACCAGCAATAAATAAATATTTGCGTCAGCATGCAACTTGTATACATAATTAAGGGAACATGACTTGGACTCAAAGCTGACTTGGTCAATTGATATAAATTGCAGCAGATTACCATCGTACTCGCCATAAACTGAAATCCGACTATCTTTGTAAATCTTATATTCACTAACTGTGCATATCTGCAATAGAATTTTCGGTATAGGACATTATGATACTTGTAAACATTATTAATGAAATTAATAATGTTTATGCCATCATAACATAAATGAATATTATTATTATTATTATTATTGTGAATATTTATGTTTTGTAATATTACGAATTATAAAAAATTATGTCTGTTCCAAAAGTAATGAGAGACTATTTTTGGGGACCTAATCAGAATTGTCAGAGAGTGGATCTATTGGACAGGGCCTGTGATGCGGGATGTTAGGTATACAATTTGACCTTTCTCCTAATTGCTACCGAGCCTTTCTAACAGTCGATATCAGCAAAGTGCGTTGTAATTTTTGTGTCTTGTCACGGGCAAAAATTCAGCACAAACTGTGTTATATTTTGAGCACCATTACGCGATCAAATTCTGAAGCCATAAGCTGCACTCAACATCTCCAACGTTTCGGAACCAGATTTTCTCAGTTTCACGCAGAATTTGATCGCTGCTCGAAACTGCTGAATTTTCGATCATGACAAGACACAAAAATTACAACGCACTTTACTGACGGTATCAATTGCTAGAAAGGCTTGGTGACAACTGGAAAGGATTATACCTGATATCCCGCATCAAGGCCCCGTCCAATGGACCTTCCGACAATTCTGATTGGCGCCAAAAATAGTTTCATTACTTTTGGGGCAGACCATATATGTAAATCAAATTAACAAATTAACGTAATAATAAGGCGATAGCAAAAATATCTATAATAGTGGCGATAGTGGTAAAAATCACTAATAATAATTAATATGTATAATTTTTAGTGATTGTATAAAGTGTCTAATTAATTTAGCTTAATACAAATCTTTGTTAGATTTTTTCCTTTGCAATTGTGAAAAAGGAAATACGGATTAAATAAGTAAGAGAAATGTGATTTCTGTTATAGTTAAATAATATTCAAAATAGCAATGCTCAATATATAATTTTCGGACGTTAATTTATGTTACTAACTCTAAAATTCGGTTATGATGGCGTACGCAGTAGCCCAGAGAAAATTGATTGCTTAAGATATTACTCAAACGATATTCCAAGATCTCGATTTGGCAACATATGTGCATTAAGAGTCCACATAGGAGGGCATCGCAAGCGACATTCACACTAGCAGTGTGAAAGGTACTTATCATTTGCTGAGCATACGTTAAACAATAAGTCATGTAAGATGAGTAATTATATGGTACCCATTCTCTATATGTTAATCTTTTGTGTCTGAAATCAGTGAATAACGACAACAAGGCGATGAACGAAACAGTTGTTCCGATCAAACTCGAATAACGTAACGTGTTGTTCCTGTTAAAAGATTATTAAAGAGATTATTATATCCATGTTTTAAGCTTTCAGATGAAGCATGTAAAATAATTAGTACTCATTCTTTATAATATATAATACACTATTTAATATACATATAATTAAATTATATTTTTTTTTAATTAATTTATGATTAAATTATTTACAAATTTGCTTTGTAATTTTTGAAATATACTAAATTTCAGATATTAAAATTAAATTTTCTTATCAAGTTATAATCTTAAATATGTTTTCTAATTGATTGAAAATAAATTGTACAATATTAAAAGAAAATATCTATAACAGAGAATAATGTTACGTAAAAGATTGACAATTATTTAATTAGAAGATATACCGAATTATTTAATTAGAAGATTACCGAATTATTTTATCGTATTGCCGTCGAATTTTCATCTCATCCGAATTTAATGGTTTGAATGGCTCTTCAGTAAGACAATTGATTAACGCTGCAATCTTCTCATAATTTATCCACACGATAAACAACTTATAGCATGAAGCAGACGAAGTTAACATCATATTTAAATTATCAGTGAAATCATCAGGATTATCAACGTTTAGAACAATGTCCATAAATTGCCACATTGAGAAAAAATATAACATGCTAATTACATATAACCTGTAAATATTATAGACTGTCCGTTTAAACAGAGATGTCCACGAAAGTGGTCGAAAGCATCCAGTGACGATGAAGATTGTACGTGTCAATTTTAAAATTTGCATTTTTAGCTTTCTTCGTTTAATTAAGAAATAGAGAAAATGTGTATAACTGTATCTGATTATATCTGATTTTAATACATGTATTGCCAATTTTAATGTCGATTGATAGAAATCTTTGAACGATATTCACAGTACGTCTCTAACTTTAACTTGACGAAATTTCAATCACACGATAAGAGGAATCATTATTTCAAGAATAACATTATTTCAAGAAGGTACACCGACAAATGTCTATAGACATGTGACGGGCGCGATTTTACTCGTGACGTTATTGACGATATTTCTCGTCGGTGATATTTCTCCTTTTCCTGCAGTGCATATTTAATGTCCGTATCTTTATAATACGAAATTGGCGATAAAATAATACTTATGCAAGATAGCTAGTAGAATTATTTCAATCTACAACTTTTATTACATGAGAGACGTACTATTTTCATTTTTACATGTAGACAGAAAGCAAAACGGTAACAATCAAGAGGGGAGAAATAAACTCTTCAAAGTCTACATCAATAAAATATAAGTTGCGAATAATCGTCTTGTATGTCACTTGCATGTCGATATTTGCAAGATATTTCATTTATTATCTTCATCTAGAAGACGATACATCAGAAGTATTGATTGCTACAATATACAATGCAATCAGGCAGAAAGCAGTTTAAAGCTATGCTTTGCAAGGCTATAGTCAAACGTTTAGAAGAAAGAATCGGACAACGTTCAAGTTTTGGTAATATTACATTTAATACGTATGCACAATTTTTTTAACGGTACTTTAACGGTAAAACTTTTTATATCACTTTTGATAAAAAAATGTTATATAGCAAAGACTTTAAAAGAAAGTCATATTGTATTATAAAATCAATTATAAAATACACAAGTATAAAATCTGTTTATGTTATATTGGAATAGAAAAAAATCTGTGATAGTCGGATATTAACATCGAATACTTCGTATTTTGTATATATCCTTTGATACATAAAAATATACTTACACTTTAAAACAGAGAAGTAGAGAACGGTAATCAATGTATATATTTTCGTGTATTTTTTACAATTATTATTAACAAATAAATATTTAACATTAATCTTATTACTGACTAATAATTAATAATTATCTTTTCAATTTTTCTATAATTGTATGCTAAATCAAGTTTGCGCTTTTTTCATACTTCTCTATTTTTACTATTCATGCACTTGTACCAATACATTATAAACAGAGTATGATGTTTTAAGCAACTGAAATAATTATTTAAATTAAATATAATTGAATAAACAGCAAATTCTATTTGATAACTTGACTACTTTTATTACCTTAAGATTAATATTTTATTAAGATAAATACTTTTACTAACCGTTACGAAAGAATCCAAATTTATGGTCAAAATGTATATAGTAGAAATTTCAACAGGTATTATTGCACGCTTCATAATTATTAAGATGCCTTTTTTAGTACTATTTTCTACAAATGGCCATTCCATTTGAAAAATACTATCCGTTAGTTGCAGACTCTACGGAAGAATGTATATATAACATATTATTTATGATCTCTTCAACAACTTGTTTTATCATAGAGATACCTTTAATTTGACTTTGTTTCCAAACCAGCAATAAATAAATATTTGCGTTAGCATGCAAGTTGTGTACATAATTAGTGAAAAATGATCTGCGTTCAAAGTTGACTTTGTCAGTTGATACAAATTGGAACATGTTACCATTGTACTTGCCATAAACTGGAATCCGATTATTTGCGTGAAACTTTTATTCACCATCCGCGCAAATCTGCAATCAAGCATTTTTACATACTTTTAGAACATTGCAATATTTAAACTCCGAATGAAATTAATGAAATTTTGATTCGCCAGAACTGAATTTTTTAATTATTTGTCGCAACGCAGAAAATTATAAAAAATTATAAAATCATATATGTATGTTAAATGAATTAACTGATTGAGAAATTAATAAAACATTAGCGAAATATCTATAATAATAATAAGTACAATGATAACAGTACATAATAATAATAATTTGTTTATCACAGTAAGCTGAATATTTAAGAAATTTCTAATTCATCTAATTATTTCCGCGTGACATTAAATTTAAAAATTTTTTGTAATAAATACAGGAACAAAAAACGTAGAAAGAAGTATTATTTTCATTACAATTATTGTAAAATAATTCACACATAAAAGCAATGCTGAATAAAATAAATAATAATTTACCACCGAATTAATAAAATACTAACTCGAAAATACGATTGTGATGGCGTATGCAGTAGCTCAGATTAAATTGATTGCACAAGAGTTTTTTAAGGCGATATTCCAAAATTTCGATCTGGCAACATATGTGCATTAAGAATCCACATACGAGAGTATCGCAAGCAACATTTACAACAGCACAGTGTAACGTGCTTAATATTTGCTGAGCGTACGTAAAACAAAATTTTATATAAGATGAACAATCGTATGGTACCCATCCTCTATATGTTAACTTTCTATGCCTAAAGTCAATGAGCAACGACATCAAACTCATGAACGTCCATGATATTGCAATTAAGATTGTGTAGCGCAATGTATTGTTCCTAGAAAGCGACTGAAGAAGTTGTTACCTGTATTATTTCTAATATACATACATTTTGAGAGAGAGATCACATATAAAGTGTCGAAAAATAATTCCATTTTTTTTTATTATGGATTATTAATTATTTTTTGATAGTAATATTGTTAAATTAGATTTTACTATTGTTAAAATTGACTTTAATATATAATTTTACTTTAATATACAATTATTGAGAAAAATAATTTGTTATTAAAATATTTATAAATATATATATCCATTTGCAACATTTTTAATATCTTAAATTTTAATGTAAGAAAATTAATTATTTATTGATCTAATTATGGATTTACATAAATTTTTAAAGGTAATACATGTTTAATGCTAAATGAAAAAAATTTAGAACAGACTTATGTTTGATAAAAGATTGAAAATTATTCTTATTAGTATGAATATATTTACCGTATCGTTTTATCATATTGTCGTCGAATTTCCATTTCACCCGAATCCAACGGTTTAAATGGTTCTTCAGTAAGACAATTAATTAATGTGGCAATATTTTTGTAACTCAACCAGGCGATAAAAATTTTATAACACGAAGCCGACATGTTCAACATCATATTCAAATTATTAGTGAAGTCATTAGCATTATCGACGTTCATCACAACGTCCATTATTTGCGACAGTGTGAAGGTATATAACATGCTAATTACATACAATCTGTACATATCATAAATTATCCGTTTAAACAAAGAAGTCCACGATTGCGGTCGGAAGCATCCAGCGATCATAAAAATTGTAAATGTCAATTTCAGAATGCACATTATAAAATCTTATTTCATTAGAAGAAAGATACATATATCTGTATCTGTGGTTATCCAACGTACTTTACTAACTTTTACTGATTAAATAATTATAAAAATTTTTCTTAGCAATTTCAATTGTCTTCGAAATAAATTTAGTTTAACAGAATAACTATTGCGTAAAAAGAGTAAGATAAGATAATATAATTTTAAGAAGGTGTACTAAGAAATGTTTATAGACTTATGACAGTCTATAAACTCTGAAACGTTCGGCCTGATATTTTCTCTTTTTTTCTATACATTTAATGTTGGTATTTTTGTAATATTTATAATAGAGTCTGTCGAAAGTAATACCAAATTTGCAATAATGATCTCTAATGTAATATTTACGCAAGGTAGTTGACAAGATTACGTCTATTTGCAATTTTTATTGCAGAAGATATACTATTTTCATTTCTACATCTCGAGGGAGAGAGGGCAAAGTTGTAATATAGTACAAAGGGAGAATTAATTCTTCAAACGTTCATCAATACAATATGAGATACGATTACGTAATTTTTATAATATCACATATGTTATATACCGATATGCAAAGTACAAATTTTCTTTATTATCATTCGTCAGCTAGAATCTGATGTACCATCCAGTATTGATTTCTACTTACGCAACGTAATCAAGCGAAGAAGTAACATTCAAGGCACGTAAGACTATAGTTAGAGAGGAAAAGTTAATGGGCACGTTCAGCAGACAAAGCAGATCAGTGAGCGCTTATAATGATTCGCTAGATCTGAGTGAATAAACCAATCGTAACAAAGAATCACTAAGCGCTCATTGATCCGGACTGTATGCTGAACGTACCCAATGATCTTAATAATATCTAAATTTCTATGACGTTACATTTTTCATATTTGCAATGAGATAATTAAGTGATAACGTGTGCAGGATTTTTTCCATTTTGAACAGAAGTAAGTATATAAATTTTTTTACGATTCTCCCAGTATCGTCCTGTGAATAAAAAATATTAAGACAATGTTATTTAAAAATAAATGTTAGATGATCTATTACATACTTTTTATATATTCTGATATAAAATAAAAAAAGAAGTTATAGGAAAAACAGTCGTTATCAACTGCTAGAATATTATTTTCAATCTTACTTTAGTGCAACAATTTTTATATCTTTTTAGTATAGTTGTTAATAGTATTTAATATATCAATAATCAATATGCATTTAGTGGATTTATACATCATGGGTCTTTACAAACTACGCATTAATGATTACAATCTTTTACTTGCCTTCGTACTACTATTCCTGCATATGCGTTAGCAAATTGAAAGCAGAATATGACATTTTAAGCAACTGCAATAATTATAAATATATTCATATATATTATTTTAAAATATTTAAGGTGATTAATTCATAATTTAAATTTATATGAATTGTTGTGTTATATTCCGTAATTATTAATTATGATGGATGTACTAAATAGTGCAAAATATATATTTTTTACAAAATTTTTTACAAAAATTCAAGAAGTAAAAGATAAAAATTGTATTAGCTAAAGAAATTATATTGTATAATACGTTATAAAATTTAATTTCTGTACTATATTACTCACCGCTATAAAAGAGTCTAAGTTCATATTAATAACATATGCACTGCTAAATTCAATAGGTCTCATCGCGCGATTCATAATCATTAAAAGACTCTTTTTAGTTTTATTGTCCAGCGCTATCCATTCTATTTCAAAAATACTATCGACTAATTGAATGCTCTATAAATTTATTAATATAAATTTATTAATATAAATTTATTAATATAAATTTTAATATATTAAATATTTTACTTTTAGACTTTTTAGAAAACATATAATAATTTTCATATACATATATGCACATTCGTAATAATATCAAATAATATAAATATGCACACCATCAGTTTGAGTTTATTTCCAAACCAGCAATAGATGAAAATTTGTACAAGTACGCAAAACGTATATGCAGATAACATAATAAAATTTACGTTAAATCTACTTCTAGTTAATTGGAACAAATTCGAGCACACTACAAATGTACTCGTTATGAATTGAAACCCGATTATCTTCGTGAATCTCTCGTTAGCCGCGTTTGCAAATCTGTAAAAAACGTTTTCATACGTCTTAAGCATTAAAATTATTGCCTTGAAAAAATTAGAAGACAGCAAAATTGTTGTAAAAAGATTAACTAAATATAAAGTTTAACAAAAATATTCTAACATTAAATCTAACAAGATTAATTCGATTATCAAATTTACGACTAACTTGATTATGTGGCGATGTTGGAGTACACAGGCACGCAGAGTATTTTGGCCATTTATGACACCTTTCAAACGATATTGTAAGATCGTAATTTGGCAACACAAATGCAATAACAAACCGACAATGAGACTATCACAAGAAACATTGACTAGAGATGCGGTTATCACGCCTACATGTTGATGAGTATGTGTGAGACAAAATAACATGAACGACGAGTAATTGTACGGTACCCATCCCGGTAATGTTAACTGCCTCTTTTTGAAATTCGTCATTAATGATACCAAATAGTGAATTGCGCAAGTTACCAGAACCATGATAGTGTAACACATTGCGATGTTCCTAGAAATAACACAAAAAGTAATTTCACTTTTATCTGGTAAAACAGAAAATTAAACAAAATATTTTTTACATTAACAAATATCCCCTAGACTTTACATATAAAAATAAAAAATTTATCAAAAATATGTAAATAATACATAAAAGAATTTAAATGGACACACCCATAACATTTATAGAGTTTTGTTAACATTAATAAGAATGCAATCTATGGAAAAAGTCTTTTAAAAAATGTTACAATGATTTCTAAATTTTTCATTTATAAAATTAAAATTGTATCTGCAAAACTTTATTATTCACATAATTTCATTATGCACATAATTTTCACAAAACAAATATAAATCAAGATATAATTTCATACTTACTGTATTATTTTCTCGAATTTTCGTCGAATTTCGACTTCGACAGATACTAATGGTTTAAACGTTCCTTCCGTAAGATTTTGAATTAACTTCGCAAAACTTTCATGATTTACCCACATATTGAGTATTTTATAGCATGCAGCAAACAAGGTCAACATCAAGTACATGATGTTAGTAAAATCGTCCGGATTGTCGACGTTCAGGACAGCGTCCATAAACTGCGTAAATGTGAAACTGTACAGTAAGCTAATTATTAATAATGTATAGGCGTTATATAATGTGTGGTTGATCAGTGGCGTCCACGAGAACGGTCGCCAGCATCCAGCGATTGTGAGAATCGTGAGTGTGAATTTCAGCATGTTCATTTCCTTTAAACGAAATACTCTTTAATTTCCTCAACGTAACAAGCTCCACATTTTTGTCGAAAGAAATTTTTACAATTGCTTTAGTTTAATATGTACAATAATATGATCAACAATGTGATTTGTGTTGTAACGTTTTGAAGTTGCTCTTCGTGTGTTTCTTTGATATATACGTTGCGTGGTAGTATTGCCGTTATATGCAGTCACGAGTCAGATGAGGAAAAGACTTTACAGCGTCTATAGCTCGTGCAACGCAATTTTTTAAATAAATTTTTCCCTTAAATAAGCAATATTATTATTGTAATAGCAAACCAGGACTGATATTTTCCGTGAATTGACATTTTCACGAGAATTCTAATCTTATATCTATTCGCATATCTTATATTGTAATATAACTTATCGACGAGAGTTCTGATGTATGAAATCTTGATATACATTGTATGTCGTACTCGTTCATTATAAAATATTTTATTCATTAGTGTCGTTGTCCGCGACTTCTTTGCAGTTTCTGCAGTCTAGCATTTTCTATCGTTTTCTGGGATATCTATATGCATCTTTTATTAGATAATTATAAATACAGAAAGCAAGCATCTTCAATTTATTCGTTTTTCCAATGTGATGCGTTCATGTCACAGCGAATAATATTCGGATTGAATAGAGACGACAATCAGAGTAATTTGTTCTTCCATATAGCCATTTCTACAGAATTTCTTAACTTTACAATGCTAAATAAAAATGTAAAACAATATCTTAAAAATTTTAACAATATTATTTTTATTACAGTTATTCTTTTCTGCACTTTTTATATAACAGATTATTAATTTTTTTAATAATGGCCAATCAAAACCTTATAAAAGTCATTCAGAGTCGTGCAGTTATTATTAAATTATTAATCTTATTATTTTAATTTCAACATCTATAAAGACAACAAAGTTTTAATACAACA